ATGATGATGTTGATGATAATGTGCCGTCAAGTCAATTTTGACTTATGGCAACCCTTTTCAGAAATTTCTACTTAGAGAGTACTCATGAAACATATGGAAAAGCAATACCTTCATTTCATAACGGGGGATGTTAGTGCTAAGAGAAATGATCTTACAGACATTATGTTGAAAAATGCAAGCTAGGATCCCAGAATAGATAATACATTTTCTTTGAGGAGGAACAAGAATTTATTCTCACTAGTACAACATTCAAGCTACTACCCGTTGGACTGTATTCAGACAAGCAGGATGACACTAACAACAATATTGTGAGGGGCTGAAGACTGGTCAGAATCTAGGGAATTAATTTTCCCAGTCCCCTCACAGTCTCTTGTCAAAATCTGTAACCCTTCCTCCTGCAGCTGCAGGTATGCCTTAGAACCCTGCTTCTGGGTTTTGGAAAAGCCCTGGAGCAAGTGGGTGGCAGCTGACGTGGGGGGGGGGATCCAATGCCCTGAGGTTCCTAATGGCTTCTGCAGGGCAAAAGAGAATCTGAAGTAGCCTCTGGACCTGAAAGTGGGGAATAGGAAACTTTCCATGAGTTTAAATTAAATGCTTCTGGCACCTGATCTGGGTTACATTGGTGTGAAGTTACACAACAGTGTTTTGCCCATCATACTATAGTGACTTAGGGTTACCTGGATAGTCCCTGCTAGAGGAGACCCCTCGAATCCATGGTTGAATCATGAATTATTTACATAGATCATGCTAATTTAGTGGGGGTTCTGTTTCTTTTCTACATTGTGTATGTTTACTGCTCATCTAAAACTGAGGATGTAAATTGAGGTTTCTGTTGCATCATCTTTTCAGAAAAGGTGAATTCCCCAGTTGGTTGCAAGCTTTCTAGATGATTTAAGAAGAGACTCAAGAGTGCCTCTGATGCCGAGAAACTGACATTTACCTTTGTCCACTGCATTTGCAATTGTGGCCAGGAGTGTAGCCTTTGAATTTCTTCTAGTGACCTGTTTTTACTTCCCTGGGCAGGAGGCCTCTCAGAACTCTTAACTTAGTGCCACTACTGTTTTGCACAGTGGCATTTTGGTGTCAAATCTGATTTGGGAAGCGATAGAAGAATTCAGAGTGTAGTCCTGCACTTGCCAGTGAGGACAGAGTTGCCTTCCTGATTCATGGTATTGTGAAGGGTGTAGGCATGTTTGAATTGGTCATAATCTTCTGCAGAGAGTTATAGAGAGTTGTTTCTGAGAGGTATGGCCTATAGACCTAAGAGCTTGCAGTGCAGTGTGGTTGATGCTTAGATCTCTCAGCCCAGATGTTGCTAACAGCTGTTTTGTAAGGGTAGGCAGATGTTGCTTTGTTGCTAATGTGATATAAACTGATGTTGTTTTCTTAAGTAATATGACGAAGCACGTATAGGTTGAGGCTATTTAGATGAGTATTCTACATGAGCTGTGAGCCTTGAATAAACATGAGGAATTTTGATTCTTCAAAATTGGACATGTGCTGGCAGGTGGCTAGTGCATTTTGAAAGGAGGAGGAAAGCAATCTTGCAAAATGCCTGGTGTTTTGCAGGTAAAATTTACACCCTTCAGACTCAGTTTTCTCTCTCCTCTGATCCTTTGAATCTCATGGCTCTTTGGTCTTCTAATCTCTGTGCAACGAATGTCCGTATTGTATGAATCAGGTTGAGCACTGGGGAGGCCTTGGAGCTTGTTTCCTAAAATTGCTTGGTCAAAATTTGTAAGGTGCATGGGCTCTCCAGCGACGAGGGCTCCACTCATAGAAGAGGGTCTGTTTTCACTTGGCTTTTGTCTGTGCCTACATATTGTAAGGTCACAGTCTTCCCATGGGAATTTCAAAGGAGAACAATATATCTTGTTGGTGTTATTGAATTCATTCTGGATGAAACTCACAAAAAGAGGAGGGATTATTGTTCAGTACACATTCTTGGCTTTAGAAAATTGAAATTTTCTTTATGAAAATGCCCTGCTTAGCAGTTTCCCAGCGGAATCTGAAGACACAAGCTCGTTGAAATGCCCCAGCTGTGCTGAAGCAATCTGGAGGGTTGAGTCCTGCTCGTGTTTCTTCTCTTGCTCTTACAAAGATATCCTTTTAGTTAGATACTAGTGGTCCTCCGTTCCTGGAAACCTATATGGTGACAATCTCATCAATAGTCCGTTGAGTCTGGGCACCAAGGAGTAGTAATTGTGGCATGCTGATGGGAGAGAGTAAATGGGGCTCAAGGCTGTGTCAGCTCTTCTTATCACATCATTGATGACAGATCATTGTCTGGTTATCTGTTCCAGTCCTTGGAGTGGAATGATTTTATAAGCTAAGACTTTGAGCCTCTCAAATAAAAACTGAGAAGCTAAAACTGCTTCATGGAAAAGCAACCCCTTGAGATTCTCCTTTTCTTCACTGTATTGCAACCTTTGAGGTTGACCCCGTAGAAAACTGGAAAGGTCAATGCCTTCATAATCAGCCTCCAGAGCAGCAATTATCAGCCTTTTTTTGCCACGGCCGTAAACACAACAGAAAAAATCTCCAGAGCAGCAATTATCAGCCTTTTTTTTTTTTTTGCCACAGCCGTAAACACAACAGAAAAAATATAGGCGGAATCAGAATTGTGTAAATTGCATAATGAACCTTATACGGCGGTGTGCAAAGAATTGTTTCCAGTCTGTGGCCGTTTTCAATTGTGCCAGAGCCCCTCAGGGGCCCATATGGCCCCCACTGAGAATGGCTGCTCCAGAGTCTTCGACGGAACTCTCTTGATTCCTGCCCTTTCCTAAAGTCTTCCTTCAATTTTCTCATTGAATATAGGAAGCTGTCGTCTCCTAAATCAGACAGTTGGTCTTCCTAGTCCTGCAAGGTCCCTTCTTGACCAGGAGCAGGCTCAGGATCTCGGGCAGGAAAATGTGTTAGCCACCTCTGATGCCCCAAAACATTTTAAATTTGAGATGATGGGATTTGAACCTGGGCCTCCTATTCAAAGCCTGTGCCCTTCAGCTGGCGTTCTTGTCAGCAGTCTTCCAGGAGTACTCACGATCTTTCCATGTATCTTGTGTGAAAGTTTTAGATATTTCAACAGCTGACCTCTTGCTGTGGGGCGAGGCTCCATCTCAGGCTCTCCATAGGGAGTGGGGAAACCAAGAGCTGCCTGGCCACCTGTTTTGGACTTCAACTCCCACAGGTCTCAGCTAGGATGTCAGTGGCAAGAGATTGTGGCAGTTCTAATCCCAAACCTTGACAATCAAAGGTCCCCGGGCCCTGCTCTGAACCCAGATGGATGTTTTCACTTGTGATTTTTAGGCCCTTTGAAATCTACATCGTAACTAAGCTATAAGAGTAGCGGAAATGCAGAAAAGGAGAATGATTGTCATGGCAGTCATGTGCAAGAAAACAACTTTAATCTCTTGCAGTCCATCCATCCCTTCCCCCAATTCCATGTGCAAGAAAACAACTTTAATCTCTTGAAATCCATCCCTTCCCCCAATTTCCATCACCACCAGTGTTTCAAGGCGTTCATGTTCAAAAGCCCACCCCTAGGAAGAAGGGAAGGAAGGGTGGGTGGGTTTTCTGCCCTTTCCCTTCTGTGACTGAGCCTGTGGCTTTTATACTGTGGAGCCTCCATGGCTGGGAAATGGGGAGTGAGCAGAACTCTCCCTTCTGCTCTCGGGCTGTGATCCCGGTACACTCTGGTACAGTGACTGTTGCTTTGGGTCTTGCTCAGGGGCTTAACAGAACTGTGGGAGGAGAGTGTGTGGAGGATGATGATGATGATGACATCCACTTCCTGGCATTTGCCATCTTATAACTCTGAAATAAACGTAATGAGCTTATGAACTGATGTGCTTCTGGTGCCTGCCCTTGAGGTGCTGAGGTAAGCTCTTCCCTGAATTCATCCCCTCCTGGTCTTTTCTGCCGTTGCTTTGCCTCCTTTCTCTTTATGTTTCCTCTTCTGGTTGGCATCTCAAGGCTGCGTTTTTTACTTTTGAGGATGGAATCGCTGTGTTCAAGGCTGAGGACTGCTATGATAAATAATATCTTTCTTCCTGGTTTTTATCTGACCTCCTTTTCTGCTTACAGTAGTTTTCAGTGTTTCAGTTAACTCCTGGCCTTGCTCCTTTGCCTTCCCTGATAATCCAAGGACAGGAATCTTAGAGCCTGATAAATGCCTGTCCTTTTTCCAGAGCTTGTTTACAGTTCCATCTTAGCACACATGTACGCAGTCGGGGCTGATGCAAAATTGTGAAAGGTGGGAGGAAAAAGGCAAGGCCAGAATAATGCATGGCGGTCAGTCGCCAGGAACAGCAGCTGTTCTAAGCAGGGGGCTTTCGTTGAATCCAGTGAGTACCTGTGCTGTCTCTTTTAGGCTCCTGCTGTTGTGGGTACATCAGAAGCTAGGCTCTGCAGTGAGCCGAGATGTTAGTCAGCGGAGGTCAATACTGCCAGCGCTGACTGCCTGACCTGTGCTCCACTGGGTATGCCCTGGCGGTCTCCTGTCCAACTAGCGAGCAAGCCCGCTTCTGTTGGCCTTGTGGAACCTGACAAGGTTTCAGGATGGCATAGTGATACAGTTATGAATTGGACTGGCCTGTCTCTTATCCCCTCTGTGGTCTAAGCTTCTGTGTGCACAGAAGGGATTTTTTCTGAGAAAGGAATTGTACTTAGGCGGAAAGCCGGCTGTTGTGTTAGGTGTGCAGAAAGCCAACAGCATACGATTCCGTTACTTCTCGCTGCCAGTGGGCGGGCTGCTGCTGTGGTTCTTGGGGTGTGTATGCGTCTTCTGGGTCAGAGTGCATTTGAGACCCCCAGAAGAGACTTGTTGATTGCTAGCAAGAAGGGCACTGAAAGTTTACCCCATTTGCCTTCTGCGTAATTCCCACCACAGAGGGCAAAGTTCCATCGGCTCCCCTCCAGAGGTGCTGCAGTTCTTTTCCTCGTGCACTCATCAGCCACTGGATCTTTTCTCTCCCCTCCAACCCCCAACCCTTTTCCAGGAGTTTGTCTCACCTGCTGCGTCTTCCCAGAAGGACTGCTCATGACAGGGCCCGTTGAAGCCACACTCACCCATTTTGGGATGGCAGCGAGCTGACGGGCAGCTGAGGATGACCTTGACTGACAGACTGCGTGAGAAGATTTCACGGGTGTTCTATAGTCATGGGCTCTTGTGTGCTTCCTACCCCATCCCCATCATCCTCTTCACCGGCCTTTGTGTCCTGGCCTGCTGGTAAGGGCTTGCTTTCATCATTCCACTTTGTCTTGAGCCGGGGGACCTGGCCCTTTGTGCATATGTGCCTGTTTTATCTTGAGAACAGTGTTAACACTAAGCGGCAGGTTCTTAAGGCACCGAGCGAGTCAGCCGAGGATGCAGGGGAACTTGCAGGACAGCATGACCCGGCTTCAGTGCATGCCTCGTGTCTTCAAGGAGCCTGTCAGTGGATTGTGCTGCTTTCCTAGATGTATTGCTGTCCCCTTCTTGCTTGCAAATGTCTCCTGCGTTCTGATGGATTTCTTCTTTCCGTGCCACAAGATCCTCCTTTGGAGCTTGATGGGGAGGGAAGCTGCCTCCTCCATCAGGGTCCATTTGCCAAGTGCTGCACGCCTCCATTAACCGCTCAGAACCTGATCGCCAGCCAGAAGCCGTTGGCGAGACACCTACCCTTATTCATGCAGGAGTTTAAATTACTCATTAACTGGGAGGCAGTGAGAGGGCAGGTTCCCGTTTCAGAATAAAGATCAGCAAGAGGGTCAAGAGGACCGAACTAAGCTCCTCATGGGGAATGTTGCATGTTCAGGCTGAGAGCAACAGGACCCATGGGCAGCTCGCTCCTGCAGTGTCTCAAACAAGGACGTTCAGTA